GCGCTCAGACCAAGAGGGTCCCAAAACCCGATGGGTTCTTGCACGCCCAACTCCTTTGCCGGGTCGAAGCTGCTATAGCTGCTGGACTCTCCAAAGAAGTTACGAGCAACCTTGGACTCGCGGCCAGCACGCAAAGGAGAGGCAGTGTACAAGCTCCAGTCTCCCCAGGCGGAGCCAGTCAATCCATCCTCACATGTGAAGCAGCTGCAAACACTTTTTTCGCTATCCAAGGTCTCCAACTGTTTGCCGCAAAGACTTGAACATGTGGAATTCAACAAACCTAAGGTTACAACATGTTATTTACAATTTAGCACACCTAAGCTTGCAAGAACATACTTGAAGATGCTGAGCAAAACATTCTGGAGATAGCAGTTTGTTCCAAACAACTTTTGGAAACCAAGCACCTGGAAAAACATTCCGATGATCGCCATCATTGCCAATCTGCCGTTGGCCAACTCGGCCGCGAGCTTAGACTTGCGAGCCTCAGGGTCCTCGACCTTACCCAAGAAGGTGGGGAAGCCAACACCGTAGTTGCCTGGCTCACCAGTCTCTGTGGAGTCCTTCATGCTGAACTGACCCTCACGAGGGCCACGTCCATCGGTGGTGGAAGCTGCCTGGAAGAATCCAGTGGTCTCAATCAAACCAGCGAAGGCAATGATCTGAGCACCGCCGAGCACAGGCAGCCTTAGCATCAAACACAAAAACACCATCATCCCCGGCCCTAGGTATTCTACGATGAAGCCCGCGCTAATCCAAAATAGCCCAAGTTACAGTAGTCCAAGTGGTCCAAGACATGTAATCAATACAAGACCACATTCGACATGCAAAAACACACAGTTGCATCCTGTACTGTAATCATTCTCTGTCTGTCCCTAGCATCTCCCTGATAAGGCCGGCACTTGGACAAAGCTGCAAGGCCGTTGGGCACGTCGGAAAATTTAAGACCCAAAGATGGAGAAAGGTATCCTGGGAACTTGTAGTACTCGGGGACAATGTAGCCAATTGTTGCATACATGGCCTCAAGTGCTGCTCACATAAGTTTGACATGCAGTTGCTTCACTTATCTATCTGTCTGCCTGCCTGTCTGTCTGTCTGTCTAACGATCTAATTTTCTATCTGTCTAATAATCTATCTATCTATCTATCTATCTATCTATCTATCTATCTATCTATCTCTCTCCCTAGCTTATTCTATTTATCTTATCCTCACATCGTTTCGTTTCTGATCACATCTCATCATATCTTGTCCCATGACATCCCACCCATTCCCCATTCCATCCATCCCAAACTATCAATCTGTTTAGTCTAGTCTTTTTTTATCAAACCGGACCTAATCCAATCCATCCATCTATCTTCCTATCCTATCCTATCCTGCCCTACCCTATCCTATCTACCTAGCTCTGTCCATCAGATTGCTCTTGTCATCTCTTGCAGTCACCTTCATTCTCTTGCTCTACCGCACCCAAATATGCAACGCAATGATTTGCAATATACAGCAATGATATGCATACATCACGCAGCCTGCAACCTCAACGAACCCGGTGATTAGAAACCAAAACTGAAAACTGGGGAGGCTCACAATTCGGCCATGCTTGATCTCGACGGCACGGCGGCGCTTGAAGGTTGCTTCATCCTTGTCTGCGCTCAGACCAAGGGGGTCCCAAAACCCGATGGGTTCTTGCACACCCAACTCCTTTGCCGGGTCGAAGCTGCTATAGCTGCTGGACTCTCCAAAGAAGTTACGAGCAACCTGCGTATGGGTGGAAACTGGGCCATCCTTGACTTCAGATCCGGAAACTGAACAGCACGGATTCCGTCGTGGATCTGCATCTTGCCGTATCTATCCGTATCTGATCTGTTGGGCTGGGGTAATAAATACCCTTGAGGGACTGAAAGTGACAAGCACCCTGCTAATCACACATGGCCCATGGCCATGGAAAATCCGATAAGAAACGATAGCAAAGGATTAAAAAATATTTTCTCGAAATTGAATCCAAATCATGGATTTTACCTCCTACCATTCACAATGCCTGACAAAGAGGATCACCCCTTCTCACAACAACTGCACCTTGGACTTGCTTGGGTTCACCACCAGCGCGCTGGTGGCCACACCGGCAACGGCCAAGCTGGACAAATTCAGGGCGCCCATGGATGGCTGGCTGCTGGCAGCAGCCCTACTGTGCTGAGGTGCGACGCGGCTGGGTGCGGCTGCGCCCGACAGGAAAGTGGGCGCAGCAGCCATGGTGGCAGCAGTGGCTGCAGCGGCAACGGCCATGGTTTTAGATGCCTACCAGGGACCGATGATGGGACATCATTGAATCATGGGACCAGACCAAATGTCAGTTGCAACTTCTTAAAACCTCAACTGCAAACTGGTAGTTTGAAAGGAGGATCTGGGAATTTCACATCGCTTGGAAAGAAACATGAACCACACTAGGAAAATCACCCATGAATGGCATTCCCAAGGCCAGCTCGGAGTATGAAAAGCACTTCTCTATGGTTTGATGATGGAAAGTAAATGGACTTCGTGCCACATGCCACACGCCATCCTAGGCCTTACATGGCCTTACCAGTTTACCATGAACAACAGCCACAATCATGGCCCTTTGCGACTTCTGAATGGCTTTTATCAACCAATTCATAGGGAACCCTCGAATGACCAGGACCCATCATATGTCATAACCCCATGAATCTCCTACAAGCCCATATTTGTTGGACATCCCAACACCCTCTTACAATTCCAGAGCCTTGGTCATGATACTGACGATGGCGACGCTGACTGGGCTGGACCCGCGCGAGAAAATGGGGCAAACGGAGGGCCTGTTCTGGGGCCAAAAAGCTTTGGACGTGTCAAAGCGTCAGCGGAAGCAGCGGCAGCTGACAAGATCGAGAATCTCAAGTTGACTAACGGTTTTCATTGGCAGTTTGATCAGTACACGACACTGGGTCTTTAGACTGCAGAATTAAACCGCAAACATGAGATGTGCCCGGGACAATCCCTAAACATGTTGTTCAACTCAATATATTCATAACCGATGGCTTGGGGTGCTCCCAAATGCTCATTGAATCCAGCAGAGGCTGCGGCAATTCCAAACATTTACCAAGCTAAACCAGCAGTCAACCACTGCCTGACATATGTCATCGTTAGACATACAAAGATTGTCTTATCTGATTTGGAGGGTCGTTGGCCTTAATTTTTGCACATGTTCATGCAGCGGACTCTTTCTGGAATAATGCGTCAAGGGCTGTCTCTTCAACATGTAATCCGCATGCTCGTATTAGCACTTCTATGTGCGGGTGTGTCTGCGCGTGTGTGATTAAATCTCTTGTCATGGATTTCCCATGCCGAATCGAAGGGCTTTAGTTTAAAAAAAGAAGCACAAACCCCAACGCTCGCATCCGATTGCCTCCAGCCTATGGAGCATCAATGTCGCACATCTCTCATTTTCTTCTGTTTCTCTACTAGGCATCCACCGCAGGAACCCAAAGAATGGCAGCATCATACGAAGAAAACAAGATGGCTGCGAAATGTCGCTGCTGAGGAAGGTGCGCTGCAGTCAAGCAGCATGACTATCATCAATGCCTCTGTCAAACACTGGTTTTTAAAAAGAACATCGTTGAATTTCTTGTGTTTAAAGCCCCCTGCGGCAAGCTGTCAGGCTTTGGTATTGCAGATTTGCTATGAGAATTGAGACAAATAGATAGCTGGTGTTCCATCCTCGCCTTTTCATCATTCCAAAATCACATCAAAACATCACATCTCAGAAATATGAAGTATCAAATCATCAATCATCACTATTTCTCGGATTTTCTGCTGAAAAGGCGAAGCTTCCTATCCTTGTGGATCACACCAGGGGACGCCGGACTTCGGCTTATCCAAACTGCTGGATGGCATCCTTACCGGTCAGCAAGTCCGCCGAGATGATGCCAATGGCTGCGAACCTGGGCATCATTCTCGAACAGTGGAAACATCTGCACTATCAACAAAGAGGGGAAGTTCACTGACAACAAAATTTGAGGATTTACGCAACAAGAATGGGAATGAAATAAAATGATCACCTCCTCCTCATCATCCAAGAAATATTCCCCACGGGACCCTACCATGCTTCACCGGGCCACATGGCGAATCGGCCGTTGTTCAGCTCCTGAAATCAAGGAGCTACAGCAGCCGACAAAAGTTGTTTAAATGCTTTCCGTGGCCCAACGAGATTGTAAGTAGGAAACACGGGTTCCATCAATGAGAATTTGATTTTTCCCTGTTTAGCAAACAAAAATACGAAGAAGATTCTGGGACATGTGGTTCCCCTCAACCAACCCAGTACCGCCTCCGATGTCTCACAAGCGGGCATGCCAAAATATATTATAGGTATAATATATACATATACGTAAACATTTACATACACATAGACATATATATATACATATACATATATCATATACCATATACACATACACAAACATTTACATATACATATACACATGCATAGATACAGTACGTGCATTCGATACATATGATCTTCGCTCCTTCTTTCGTGCTGCCTCCCAAAAGGAGAATAAACATCCAAAAATGGGGGTTTCCCCTTGCGATGTAAAACTATGCAAGAGTACGTAAGATGATGCTTGCAAGTTTGGTTGGGCCCTGCACCAGTTCCAGACTGCTTCCTGGTCAACCCAGCTGGAAAATTCATTCGTCTATACTCTCCGCACAGTTTTACACACCCAAGAAGAACCTCGAAATCAAAATTTGTCACATATATCTGTGGTTGTTTCCTTTGCTCATTCCGCAGCGCGTGGGAATCCCACCAGACTGAGATCCCAAACTCCACGCCTTGTTGCGGAACTCCTCGTTGTACTGACCCAGGCCCAAGGGATCACCGAAGTCACCGGCCTCCTTGTTGGGGTCCTGCCAGGGCGGCCCTGAGCCGCCTGAGCCATCCCACCAAGATTGTTTTTGAATGGACATGCTGCGGGAAATATGAGTTGTTCCACATGTGGCAAGGCAAACCCTGCAGCTTTATTTCCTAACTATCCACGTCTGACTACCAGATTGCTTTTCAAGACAAGTAGTGAAAAGATATTTGCACGCTTGCTGCGCCCATGGTAAAATCATATATCGAAATCAGGCAAGGGTCTGTCACATAGGCGAAAAATCAACACATCAATTTGCTCACGGTACCTCTGTTGGACCTTGGAACATACTTCTGAAATGGCAGCATTAAGAAGCTCAAAGATGAAATAGATTCTGAATTTGCAGAATCATATATCAGAAAGATGTGTAAAATATGAGAAAGCGCGCGACATTGAGGGCGGAGATCAAATTAAGACTCATGGCGCCGAAGGAGAGCCCCAACGTGGGGCTGCTCCGACATAGCAGTCCAAAGAAGGGATGGCAGCAGCTCTGGATGGCAAGATGTGGGGGGAACACGGTCAAGGTTAGGGTCAAAACCAATTCCGACAGATCCAGTTTTAGCCGGTGAAAGGAAAGTATTGCCAATCCAACCCACCACCACAGAGAGTCGCCTGAGTCCACACGGCCAACTCCATGGCACCCGAGAGCAGGAATAGCGCAGCAAAGCCGTAGGTCCCAGGGGCCGTGGTCACCGCACCCACACCGGCAGGCACTGACTCCTTGGGGATTGAATCGGATGTGGTCAAGTTCAGTTGAATAATCACCCAATTCAGCATCTTGATCTTCACAACAGGCTTAGTGCATCCCAGTATCCCTTTTTCATTGGTCAATCTCCCCACTTTATCTTATGTGATGTATTGTTGTGTGATGTATTGTTGTGTGATGTGTTGTTCTGTGATGTAAAGTCACTTGAATAAAAGCCATCCGTAACTCGGAAGATTGCTTGAAATCCTAGAACTTTCACTCCTCCTTGCCACCTCCACCCTGCCCTGCCAGCCAGCATCGAAACCGGGGAATTTGATGTAGTGCTGCGCCACTGCACCCAGGGCGGCCATCATAGCCACCTTGGACACTACGCATGTTTCAAAGGCGTCTGGTATTTGAAGGGCTTGAGAAATTGAATCACAGATGCAAATGTCCTGAGTACTCGTCCTGGATTTACATTTGGTTAAATATTGATGATGGGTTTTCTGGTAGATCTGTTTGGGGGTAATTTCTTCGTCTGGCTTTGCCCAAAAGCAAACCAAAAACAAATCCAATACTAATCAATGCAAAACGCCATCATTTAACACATTCAGATGGCCAAAACAAGGCATAAACAACCCCATTCTTCGACAGACTCAAATACAAAATAATAAAAGATATAGATCCATCCATCCCCGCCCTGAAGTGCACAAAATCCTGTGCTGCAAAATCTTCAAACTTGACTCTTGCACCACGGGGGATGATGGGAAGTCAGCACCCGCATGTAGCATCATGTCACAACTTGGGCTTCTTCGCTGCTTACACTCCCAATCTTCGCTAGTTTAAGTCTTGCCTTAGGTAAGTCATATAAGGATATATAAGGTCTAAGGTTCAACTCCTCATCCTTTTTGTTACCTTCACATCTCTCAAAAACAATGTTCCCAGTCATTCTGGTGAACCAAGTTTTCGGGAGATGATCCGCCAGGGGGCTCGTCCATGTTTGATCTCCGCAGCCCGGAGGTTCTGGAATCCCTCCTGGCCAACGGCAGGATATCAACCGTGGCCAAATTGTAAAATCATGTTCAAGAAAAATACTGTTCAAAAACCATTGGAACGGATGGGCACGCTGGGACATGGAACATGATAGGTAAAATTGGGATCTACCCCACAGTAGACACATCCGTGGATGCTGTAAAGGTTAGGATTCAAGTCTCTTGTTACCAGTGGTAGCCATGCTTCTGTATCATCTTGCGATCAATGATTCAATGATAATCAAGTACTGTAGCTCATAGGTACCAACCACCGCTGCAATTCTGATGTCTAGCACCCGCGGAACTCCACCTTCCACCGGATCCCGCACCTTGTCACCCACCTTGCAGAATCCCGCAGGGTCAAAGTAACCCAAAGGTTCCATGGCGCCCACCTGCTCCAAGCAAATGAAGTGGCCATGTTTCAAAAGGGTTTCAACCACTGATATGGATTTCCACCAACCTTTTATTGAAGACATGATTTAGATTGGAACTATCCTAGCCCAAACAAACGCAAAAATCATTATCCACTGGCATCGTGAGTGGGAGAATGACTCAGTGGCCCTATGATAAAAAATGCTGTACCCAGCTCAGCACATATACATGTATGCATATAAATATGTATATATATATATATTAGTTGTTAATCAAACATACTGATAATTTCGGGCTAAATAATTAGCCCCGTGCAAAAAAAAAAAACAGCCTGTTTGGCAGGGTCGAAGGGAGGAGGCTTAGGAGGCTCCTCTGCATCTTCGGCCCGCAAAGGAGAGGCAGTGTACAAGCTCCAGTCTCCCCAAGCAGAGCCAGTCAATCCATCCTCACATGTGAAGCAGCTGCAAACACATTTTTTGCTATCCAAGGTCTCCAACTGTTTGCCGGAAAGACTTGAACATGTGGGATTCAACAAACCTGCAAGAACATACTTGAAGATGCTGAGCAAAACATTCTGGAGATAGCAGTTTGTTCCAAACAACTTTTGGAAACCAAGCACCTGGAAAAACATTCCGATGATCGCCATCATTGCCAATCTGCCGTTGGCCAACTCGGCCGCGAGCTTAGACTTGCGAGCCTCAGGGTCCTCGACCTTACCCAAGAAGGTGGGGAAGCCAACGCCGTAGTTGCCTGGCTCACCAGTCTCTGTGGAATCCTTCATGCTGAACTGACCCTCACGAGGACCACGTCCATCGGTGGTGGAAGCTGCCTGGAAGAATCCAGTGGTCTCAATCAAACCAGCGAAGGCAATGATCTGAGCACCGCCGAGCACAGGCAGCCTTAGCATCAAACACATAAACAACATCATCCCCAGCCATGGGTATTCTACGATGAAGCCCGCGCTAATCCAAAATAATCCATGTTATTCCAATACAAGACAACATTCGACATGCAAAAACACACAGTTGCATCCTGTACTGTAATCATTCTCTGTCTGTCCCTAGCATCTCCTTGATAAGGCCGGCACTTGGACAAAGCTGCAAGGCCGTTGGGCACGTCGGAAAATTTAAGACCCAAAGATGGAGAAAGGTATCCTGGGAACTTGTAGTACTCAGGGACAATGTAGCCAATCGTTGCATACATGGCCTCAAGTGCTGCTCATATAAGTTTGACATGCAGTGGCTTTACTTATCTATCTATGTGCCTATCTATCTGCCTATCTATCTACCTATCGATCTTTCTGTCCATCTATCTATCCATCTATCTTTCCATGAATCTATCCATTTATCTATCGATCTATCTATCTATCTATCTATCTAATTATCTATCTATCTATCTATCTATCTATTTCTTTCTCTTTCTTTCTCTGTCTATCTGTCCACCTATCCATCTATCCATCTATCCATCTATCCATTTAACCGTCTACCCATCCACCTATCCATCTATCTACCTGTCTATCTATCTATCTGTCTATCTATCTATCTATCTATCTATCTATCCATCTATTCATGTATCTATCCATCTATCTATCTTTCTATCTATATCTCTCTCTATCCATCCATCCATCATCCATCCATCCAATCTAATCTAACCTAATCTCATCTAACCTGATCTAATCTAATCTGTCTATCTATCTGACCTATCTCTCTATCTATCTATCTGTCTGTCTGTCTGTCTGTCTATCTGTCTGTCTGTCTATCTGTCTATCTATCTACCCATCCATCCATCATCCATCCACCCATCCATCCATCCATCCAATCTAGCCTAATCTAATCTAATTTATCTATCTGATCTATCTTTCTTTCTATCTATCTGTCTATCTATTTATCTATCTTTCTATCTATCTGTCTTGACTATCTATCTATTCATGTATCTATCCATCTATCCATCTATCCATCCAACTACCTTACCTTATCTTTTCTAATCTTATCTTCTCCTATCGGTCTATCTATCTATTCTGGCCTATATCTATCAATCTATGTCTATCTATCTATCTATCTATCTATCTGTCCACCTATCCATCTAGCCATCTATCCATCTATCCATTTAACCATCTACCCATCCACCTATCCATCTATCTACCTGTCTATCTATCTATCTGTCTGTCTATCTATCTGTCTATCTATCTATCTATCTATCTATCTTTTCTGTCTATCTATCTATCGATCTATCGATCTATCGGTCTATCTATCTATTTATCTATCTATCCTTCTATCTTAACTATCTATCTATCTATCTATCTATCTTTCTGACTATCGACCGATCGATCGATCGATCGATCTATCTATCGAACCTATCGATCTAGTCTATCTAATCTACCTCTATCTACCTATTTTTCTACCTATCTCTATCCATCTTTCTTTCTATATATCTATCTTTCTTTCTATCTATCTAAATATCTGTCTGTCTATCTATCGGTCTATCTATCTATCTATCTATCTTTCTATCTATCTATCTATCTAACTAATCTAATCCATCCATCCATCCATCTATCTATCTTTCTATCTATCTGATCTACCTCTAGGTATCTATTTATCTATCTGCCTACCTATCTTATCTATCTATCTATCTTTCTTTCTTTCTCTCTATCTATCTAACTATCTATCCATCTATCGATCTATCGATCTATCGATCTATCGATCTATTAATCTATCTATCTATCTCTCTATCTATCTATCTATCTATCTATCTATCTTTCTATCTGCCCACCTATCCATCTATCTATCGATCTATCTATCTATCTATCTTTCTATCTATCTATCTATTTATCTATCTATCTATCTAGTCTATCTAGTCTATCTAGTCTATCTAGTCTATCTAGTCTATCTAATCTATCTATATTTCTTTCTTTCTTTCGTTCTTTCTTTCTTTCTTTCTTTCTTTCTTTCTTGCTTTCTTTCTTTCTTTCTTGCTATCTATCTATCTAGCTATCTATCTTATCTATCTTATCTTTCTATCTATCTATCTATCTGTCTATCTATCTTTCTATCTATCTATCTATCTATCTATCTTATTTATCTATCTTATCTTTCTATCTATCTATCTATCTATCGTTTCTGTCTATCTATCTATCTATCTATCTATCTATCTATCTGTCTATCGATCTATCTATCTATCTATTTATCTATCTACCCATCTATCTATCTATCTATCGATCGATCGGTCTATCTATCTATCTATCTATCTATCTATCTATCTATCTATCTATCTATCTATCTATCTATCTATCTCTATCTATCTATCTATCTATCTATCATCTATCTAAATATCTGCCTGTCTATCTGTCAATCGATCTATCTATCTACCGCATACAAACATGCATTGCAATGAGTTGTAATATGCGGCAAGGATTTGCATACAGCACTTAGCCTGCAAACTCAACGAACCGGGCGATTAGAAACCAAAACTGAAAACTGGGGAAGCTCACAATTCGGCCATGCTTGATCTCGACGGCACGGCGGCGCTTGAAGGTTGCTTCATCCTTGTCTGCGCTCAGACCAAGAGGATCCCAAAACCCGATGGGTTCTTGCACACCCAGCTCCTTTGCCGGGTCGAAGCTGCTATAGCTGCTGGACTCTCCAAAGAAGTTACGAGCAACCTTGGACTCGCGGCCAGCACGCAAAGGAGAGGCAGTGTACAAGCTCCAGTCTCCCCAAGCGGAGCCAGTCAATCCATCCTCACATGTGAAGCAGCTGCAAACACATTTTTTGCTATCCAAGGTCTCCAACTGTTTGCCGCAAAGACTTGAACATGTGGAATTCACAAACCTAAGGTTACAACATGTTATTTACAATTTAGCACACCTAAGCTTGCAAGAACATACTTGAAGATGCTGAGCAAAACATTCTGGAGATAGCAGTTTGTTCCAAACAACTTTTGGAAACCAAGCACCTGGAAAAACATTCCGATGATCGCCATCATTGCCAATCTGCCGTTGGCCAACTCGGCCGCGAGCTTAGACTTGCGAGCCTCAGGGTCCTCGACCTTACCCAAGAAGGTGGGGAAGCCAACACCGTAGTTGCCTGGCTCACCAGTCTCTGTGGAGTCCTTCATGCTGAACTGACCCTCACGAGGGCCACGTCCATCGGTGGTGGAAGCTGCCTGGAAGAATCCAGTGGTCTCAATCAAACCAGCGAAGGCAATGATCTGAGCACCGCCGAGCACAGGCAGCCTTAGCATCAAACACATAAACAACATCATCCCCGGCCATGGGTATTCTACGATGAAGCCCGCTTTAATCCAAAATAGCCCAAATTACAGTAGTCCAAGTGGTCCAAGACATGTAATCAATACAAGACCACATTCGACATGCAAAAACACAGTTGCATCCTGTACTGTAATTATTCTCTGTCTGTCCCTAGCATCTCCTTGATAAGGCCGGCACTTGGACAAAGCTGCAAGGCCGTTGGGCACGTCGGAAAATTTCAGACCCAAAGATGGAGAAAGGTATCCTGGGAACTTGTAGTACTCGGGGACAATGTAGCCAATCGTTGCATACATGGCCTCAAGTACTGCTCATATCAGTTTGACATGCAGTTGCTTCACTTATCTATCTATCTGTCTGCCTGCCCGTCTGTCTGTCTAACTATCTAACGACCTACTTTTCTATAAGCCTAATAATCTACCTATCTATCCATCTATCTATCTTTCTATCTGTCTATCTATCTGTCTACCTATCTGTCTATCTATCTAATCTAATCTAATCTAACCTAATCTAATCTAATCTAATCTAATCTATATAATCTAATCTATATAATCTAATCTATATAATCTAATCTATATAATCTAATCTATATAATCTAATCTATATAATCTAATCTATCTATCTATCTATCTATCTATCTATCTATCTCCCTTGCTTTTTTTAACTTATCTTATCCCCACATAGTTTCGTATCTGATCACATTTCATCATATCTTGTCCCTTGACATCCCCACTCATTCCATCCATCCCAAACTATCTATCTGTTTAGTCTAGTCTTTTTAATCAAACCTAATCCAATCCATCCATCTATCTTCCTATCCTATCCCACCCTACCCTATCCTATCTACCCAGCTCTGTCCATCAGCTTGCTCTTGTCATTTCTTGCAGTCACCTTCATTCTCTTGCTCGACCGCATACAAACATGCATTGCAATGAGTTGCAATATGCGGCAAGGATTTGCATACAGCACTTAGCCTGCAAACTCAACGAACCGGGCGATTAGAAACCAAAACTGAAAACTGGGGAAGCTCACAATTCGGCCATGCTTGATCTCGACGGCACGGCGGCGCTTGAAGGTCGCTTCATCCTTGTCTGCGCTCAGACCAAGAGGATCCCAAAACCCGATGGGTTCTTGCACACCCAACTCCTTTGCCGGGTCGAAGCTGCTATAGCTGCTGGACCCTCCAAAGAAGTTACGAGTAACCTGCGTATGGGTGGAAACTGGGCAGTCCCTGACTTCAGATTCAGAAACTGAACAGCACCGATTCCGTCGTGGATCTGCATCTTGCCGTATCTATCCGTATCTGATCTGTTGGGCTGGGGTAATAAATACCCTTGAGGGACTGAAAGTGACAAGCACCCTGCTAATCACACATGGCCCATGGCCATGGAAAATCCGATAAGAAACGATAGCAAAGGATTAAAAAATATTTTCTCGAAATTGAATCTAAATCATTGATTTTACATCCCACCATTCAGCATGCCTGACAAAGAGGATCACCTCTTTTCCCAACAACTGCACCTTGGACTTGCTTCGGTTCACCACCAGCGCGCTGGTGGCCACACCGGCAACGGCCAAGCTGGACAAATTCAGGGCGCCCATGGATGGCTGGCTGCTGGCAGCAGCCCTACTGTGCTGAGGTGCGACGCGGCTGGGTGCGGCTGCGCCCGACAGGAAAGTGGGCGCAGCAGCCATGGTGGCAGCAGTGGCTGCAGCGGCAACGGCCATGGTTTTAGATGCCTACCAGGGACCGGTAATGGAACATCATTGAATCATGGGACCAGACCAAATGTCAGTTGCAACTTCGTAAAACCTCAACTGCAAACTGGTAGTTTGAAAGAAAGGAAAGAGACATGAATCCCCTTAGGAAAATCATCCATGAATTGCGTTTCCAATGCCAGCTCGGAGTATGATTCTCTAGTTCTGGTTTGATGATGGAAAGAAAATAGAATTCGTACCACACGCCACCCTAGGCCTTACCAGTTTACCATGAACAACAGCCATCATCATGGCCCTTTGCGACTTCTGAGTGGCTTTTATCAACCAAACCGTAAGGAACCCCCAAGTGACCAGGACTCATAACATGTCACAGCCCCATGTATCTTCTACGAGCCCATCGTTTTTTGGACATCCCAACACCCTCTTAAAATTTCAGAGCCTTGGTCATGATACTGACGATGGCGACGCTGACTGGGCTAGACCCGCGCGAGAAAATGTGGAGAAAACGGGGGGCCTGTTCTGGGGCCAAAAAGCTTTGGCCGTGCCGAAGCGTCAGCGGAAGCAGCGGCCAGCTGACAAGATTCGAGGATCTCAAGTTGACTAACGGTTTTCATTGGCGGTTTGATCAATACACGACTCTGGGTCTTTAGCACCGCAGAGTTAACCGCAAACATGGGGATGTGCCCAGGAATGGCTGGGACAATCCCCGAACATGTTACTCAACTTTATTCATAAGCAATGGCTTGGAGCTGTACGGAATCTGGATGGTAGAGGGTACTCCGGAGCGCTCATTGAATTCAGAATGCGCTGCAGCAATTCCAAACATTTACCATGCTAACAACCACCAGCCAACCACTGCCTGACATATGGAATGGTAAGACATACAAACGATTTTTCCTGTCTGATTTGGTGCGTCGTTGGCCTTAAATTTTGCAGTTTCGTGCAGCGAACTCTTCCTGAAATAATGAATCAAGGGCTAGCCTCTTCAACATCAAATCTGCAAGCTCGTATTTGCACTTCTGCGTGCCTCCGTGCCTGCGTTCCTGCGTGCCTGCCTGCCTGCCTGTGTGCCTGCGTGCGTGCGCGCCCTGCCTGTGTGCAACAAAATATATATATATATATATCATCGGGGTTCCATTTCATTATGTGATACTGTGCGGGAGTTTTAGAGCGGTCTAACTTTTGTGCATAGGGCCTCAGGCTTTAAAATGCACAAAGACATTGAAAACTGGTTCTGCAATAAAATGCCTTGCCAGCAAATTCATGCCCGAATGTGCATCCAACTTCATCCAATTTCGAAGACCCTCAGAAACAACGACAAGCTCTGAAGAAAATGACCAAACATAATGTCATCACCAGGAAGATTCAGAACAGTTTGAAATTATCAGTATTTCAATGGTGATTTAAGGTTTCCATCTTTTTGTGGAAAAAAAACTGTATATATTACTGGTATGAAGTTAACCCCCCATATTTCGATGGTTCATACCACCCATTTATGGTAAATTTAGGGGTGGATTACTATTGCTTTACTAAACTTGAATAGGCTCCACCCGTCCCGAGCCCCCCCACAGCGCCGCATTTCCAGGTCGGCGAAGCGATGTGTTGTCCTGGTTTCTGATGGTCGAACGGCGGTGTTAGCTTCTGTAAAAACCTGGGTTTCACCCACCAAAAAATTGGGAATGAAGCTGTGGAAATGGACACAATGAAACATGACTTGCCCATAAAGATGGGGATTCTAACCAGCAAGGAATGTGGAACTTGGCCATCACAAACAATGCAAAAATTGAGAACCGGTCAACAAGAATGATATGACTTAACCAACAACAAATTAGGCTGGCTAGCAAGCCGTATGCAGCCAGCAAAAAAATACTATAAAATCCGCAAAGCACACCCAAAATTCGCATTTCACTATGACATACCGGGTTTCTAAAACTGATCTGGAAAGCATCCCATCAAAGCAATACCCTCGGGCGGTTCGATGCAGGAATGGACATCAACCACAAAACAATTGTCTGGCCAAGCCTAGCAAGAAAAACCGAGTTCTGACTCTATTGCATGTGTGCGTGTGTATGTTCGTAGGTATGTATGCGTGCATGTATGTATGTAGGTATGTATGTCTGTATGCATGCATGTATGCGTGTTTGCATGAATGCATGTATGCATGCATGCATGTGTGCATGTATGCAAGTATGCATGTATGAATGTATGCATGTATGCATGTATGCAAGCATGCATGTATGCATGCATGGATGCATGGATGCATGGATGCCTGCATGCATGCATGCATGCATGTATGCATTTATGAATGTATGATAATGTATGCATGTATTTTTGCATGCATGCATGCATGGATGGATGGATGGATGGATGGATGGATGGATGTATGTATGTATGTACGTATGGTTGTGTATGCCTGGGTATGTATGTATGCTTATGTGTGCGTGCTTATGTATGTATGGTTTTGCATGTATGTCTTTGTATGTATGTATGTCTGTCTGTCTGTCTGTATGTATGTATGATCAAAATTCCTTTATCCCGGAACGGCCATTCTTCGCGAATAAAAGTTTTACTTTCGCGAAACTTTCGCGAACTCCATGTTTATCTTTCGCGGGGCCCTTGTTGGCCAACAACACCTCTTATGAAGATTCGTTCACCACCTGCCAAATTACGCCAGAGAATTACGGATCACTTCTTGGTAGCCTTTTAAACATGCAGCTAGCATCACCGAATCCCTTCTCAGGACAGATTTTTTTTGCAAAGTTTACTGGCCCACCCCTTCAGCATGCACTTTGACTTTCGCCCGCTCTTTCGCATAACTTTCGCGGAACTTTCGCGAAAATATCCCTATTCACAGACCCCGGCCATCAGCAGGGGGTGCACTGAAGGAAAAGCGAAGACCAGGGGCCTTGGTGTTTGGCTCTCGCAAAGCCTCACTTTTGAAAACTTGGCTACTGCTACTCGCATTCTCTGGTGCCCTTCTCCTGCCGGACCCCGGGCGGCAGTGGGTGGCAGCCCTTTACATAATGATTATAATATCCAAACTTTCGCGAAACTTTCGCGAAATAAAGTTTTACTTTCGCGAACTCGAAAAAGACTTTCGCGAGGGTTTCCAACATGACATGCACGGCTTTCGCAATTAAAACTCCTTACAAGGACCTTTAGATCGATTCCCATGTATGTATGTATGTATGTATGTATGCATGTATGCATGTATGCATGTATGCAAGCATGCATGTATGCATGCATAGATGCATGGATGCATGGATGCCTGCATGCATGCATGCATGCATGGATGGATGGATGGATGGATGGATGGATGTATGTATGTATGTTGTTGGTATGTTGGTATGTTGTTTGTCAAATTCATTCTACTACATAAATCTACATAATAGACATAGATATTAAATATTGCTTGCACGTGTTGGTTACCATTCATTGTACTACTGTCTGTATGCTCCACCACCGTCGCTCAGACGAGAAACTTCGATACATACAATTCACATCAATAAGATCCACAATACTCAGTTCCTACATTCTGGTGAATCAACGAAATCAAAAATCAAATTAATGTGATGGCCTGTTCCATCAACTCATTGCTCGAAGAAGCAGCGGACCTGCGCGACTTGCGCGCAACCTCACAACTGGCATCAAACTTCAAGTCAACGCCACCCTCCTGATCAACTTCAACGTCCATAACCACGATATGGCCGTCAATGAGCTTCCTCTTCTCGCCACGTGCCTTGACATGGTCACGTGCTCCCTCGTCTCCCTGCATGAAGAGCGGGACCTGTGTTTCCCAACCCACTGGAGGAAGATCTTTCTCTGGGATCACCGCATTCAAGCGCTGCAAATTCTCCTGCTGAAGGCCAAAGATGTCACTGCTGACTCCACGTACGGTCGCAACAACATTGGACACAATGCGAACATTCCGAGGAATGATTATGGAATCACGCCCGGTCAAATTGATGTTAAGGGGCGCAAGTGTCTACCGATGGCACTCCATGAGCGGCTTCATGATCATGATGCATGCTAGCTGCGCGGTGGGAGTCGACCGATGCCGCCATGAAGAAGTCAGGCGCATTTTGGCACTTGGAATGGCTATAATGCACCCCACCCACAGACCACTTGCTGAACTGGATGCGGTACCGTTCCAAAGATGGACTGCAAGCCACCAGCCAAGCGCTGATAAGCACCATCAGCACGAGTTTGAAGCTCGGTGTCGTCATCGCCGTCGGAGTCCGACGCAGTATTCTCAAGATTCACGAACTTTTCCATCGCCGAGTTGGTGGTGAGTTTGTATTCATGACCATCAGCTTCTTCAAGTTCAGGCAATAAGGCGATGAACACATTTGACCCATTGGAGGTGGTGTAAAATGGTAAATGCAGAGATCATCATCCTTGCGATGGGGTCCATCTTCCGTTCCGAAGATATGATGTTCGGCAAAAACTTTGACATTGCGTCCACCCAGCGACGTGCCGGCAATGGAAGAGTGGTGGTTCCCATGAGGTTCTGCAAGCTTAA